TACTACTTCATTTTCTCAAACCATTTCTTTTTGTCACATGCTAGTAACTCTAGCTTTGCTTTAGCCTTAGCTCATATAGCTATCTTCAGTCCAAGGTGTTTTGCTAGCTGTACTACTTCATTTTCTCAAACCATTTCTTTTTGTCACATAGTTGTACTTTTAGTCATACTAGTACTAGTTGCTCTATAACTATATCTACTAGTATATCTAGCTTAGCTTCAGCTTTAGCTCATATAGCTATCTTCAGTCCAAGCTGTTTTTCCAGCTGTAGTGAATGCTTTTTTGGTAGCTGTATGATTGGTAGCTGTAGCTATAGCTAATGTACGACTAGCAGTAACACTAGCTCCATAGCAGTAGTTCTATACATTTGACTTGAATACTATAGCTATCAATATCACTATCAGTATCACTATCATTACCTATAACTTTAGCTACTCTACCACTAGCCATAACACTTGCTCCAGTGCTCCTAGCTGAATTTATAATTTCAATCCAACCYGTATTTCCAGCAGCTGTAGTGAAAGCTTTATTCCTAGCTGTAGCATTAGCTACTACTATACCATTAGCAGTAACACTAGCTCCAGTCCTAATCAATGTATACTAGCTATAGATAGCTGTGGCAGTAAATATCCTTATGAATAACAARAATATTAGTAGTATTAGTACTATATGAAAAACAGAAGTAGTAACAGAAAAAGTAATAGTAGTACTTGTTGTAATTTCAGTACTAAATCAACTACCGCTTAACTACTACTACTTCATTTTCTCAAACCATTTCTTTTTGTCACATAGTTGTAATTCTAGCTATAGTTGCTTTRTAACTATATCTACTACTAGTATCTTTAGCTTTGCTTTAGCTTTAGCTCATATAGTAGCTACTAGTACTAGCTTTAGTAGTCCAAGCTGTTTTGCTAGCTGTGAAGAAAGCTGTATTGGTAGCTGTACTATCTATAGCTACTATACCACTAAAATGAACACTAGCTCCTGTGCTAATCTAGCTATAGCTATAACTACTATCTGTAGCAGTAAATATCCTTATGGATAACAAGAATATTACTAGTAGTATTAGTACTATGAAAATCAGAAGTAGTACCAGAAAAAGTAGTACTACTAGTACTTYCACTCCAACAACAACCAAAAACCAAAAACGAAAAGAAAGAGGGACGAACAAAGATCAATCGCAACAAATGCATGTATCCGTATCTACTGTAATTTTATGGCAGGTAGCCAGCAGCGAACACAAGACATACCTGCAATACTTTGTTTGCTCCCTGTAGCCGACTGTTCCCCATGACTTGATTGCAAAAGCAAAAGCACAGCAAACCAAAACGAAGAAACCAACAGAACCCGAAGCACAGGATCGCACCACAGAAAACTCCACCCATGAGCCGGCAAAGCATACTCGAAGCGACCACCGAGACCATCTCCAACGCAATGGATGCGACAACAGGCGATGGCACCGAAGCACCGGTGGAAAAAGAGCAATGCCCCGTGGATTCCTTCGATTACCTCAACCCGGAGTTCCTGGCGGTGTGCCTCGCGTCGCTGACCGTCGTCGGGTCCATCGTGACCTTTTTCATGCAGCGGGCCCGCGACCGGGTTGAGGAAAAGGAAGCCGAACGCAAGGCCGAGGACGAACTCGACCGCCAGCAGGCCCTGGAACGGGTCCGGACGCAGCTGAGCACGTACGTCGGGCCCCTCCACCGRCTCTACAAGACGCAGAACACGATCCTCATGCAGTACCGCAAGGAGAACGAGATGCACAACAACCACCTGTTTCGGGCCATGCATCACAAGGGCTCTTTCTACTGGTCGCAATGCTTCCATCCCGAGACCCTGCAGGCCTTTCTCGAGGATCCCTTCTCCCCCGGCGCCAGGGCCTACCGCAACATGGTCGTTCGGCGCCTCAAGCCCGTCTATACGCGCATCCGGGAGCTCGTCCTGAACCACGCCGGCGATCTGGCCGACATGCCGACGCAGGGGGAGTGGCTGCGGAAGTACGACCGGGAGAGCGTCCTGTCCCCGTTCACCAATTCGATCCACGCGAACGTCATCTTTGACACCTACACGGCCTGGACCTTTGAGTTCGACGACATTATCGAATCGTGGACCACGGACGAGGATTTTAGCCTGGTGCAGCCCACCACGAGGGTGGCCTGGCTCATCTGCAACGACCTCGTCGACCTCCTGTACGAAAACGCCAAGGACAAGGAAGCGAAATACAACAAGCACGTGAAGGTCCACAAAAACATTGTGCACGAGCAGGAAACCTCCCTCCGAGAGAGTGGCAACCTTGCGACGACGCTCCCGGCCGTCCTGTCCCAGGTGGGGATCAAAGCGAGGCAATAGCGCAACAAATCGTGGCGCGGAGGACACGCGACCGCACGGCACGAAACGCCGCCACCTGCTACGACTCTTCGAACACGGGACCTCGAAGAGGACACACACACACACCGCAACCAAGAATTCTCGACAACTCATTTCTTGCTTGGGAGTACAATGCGGTGCGAGAATCCATTCCTTCCTGCTGTTCACAGAACGCAGCAGCGGCAGCGGCATCCGACGATTCGATCGGGGCGGTTTTTGGCAGAGAATCCGATGCCATCCAACACGCTCACAGCCAGGCGACATTGCCGTGTGCGTTCTGTATCGGAAAAGCACCCAAGAAAGCGGAATCGGTATCGCTTCACTTTTTTTCGTACGGGAAAGACAGAGCAATGCATCCATCATCGACGGGATGTAGTCCAGAAACACAGACAGGGCAATAGGAATCCCCAGCCATCGATAAACGCGACGAGACACATCGGACACGCCATGCGGATTCTAGTAGTGTTTCTAAAATAATTTTAAAAGCGTTGGTGATGGCATAGCGTCTTCCATTCGATTGGAAAGAAGTTTGAAAATTTCTGCGGCGGTGCTTACTGTATTTCGCATGTGTACGGCCGTTGTTGTGGACGACTGCGACAATAGGACTTGCGCTCCGTTCCAATTGCATCGTCTTCTGTTTTCGCCTTGTGTTTGGTTRCATTGCCTCGAACCGCATCGAACATTAGCGTGGATCATTGCATCGAACATTGCATCGAACATTTTGGATCATTTGCATCGAGCATTGCATCAAACATTTTGGATCATTTGCATAGATCATTTGCATCGATCATTTGCATCGATCATTTGCGTGGGTGGCTTGGCTCGGCACGGCACGGCCCTGCTAGACCGTCCCCGCCGACCCGCTCGATTGCCGTTTCCGTTTCCTTCCGCACACGCAACCGCAGGCCCCGCAGGTCACCAGCGCGAGAAAGGACCGCCGGACGTCGGTCTTGGTCAGGGCCATCCCCACCGACGCGATCGGCTGCAGGGTCAGCAGCAGGAGGCCGGCCGTGTAGAGCCACGGCGAGGTGGCGTATTGCGTGTCCCCGAGCTGGATCCAGTCGTTCAGATCGATGTTCCGCGTAAAGCGGGAGGCGACCAGAAAGGCGACCCCCGGGGCCCAGTACAGCAAAAAGACGACGATGATCCGGAAGTAGTACATGGCAAGCTCCCTGAGCCCCCTGCCGTGGCGGCTTGCCAGAGACGATAGGAGACCGGACGGGACGAGTTTTTTCCGCCAAATGGTCACCGTCACCCAGCCCAGGTACAGCAGCGGAAAGCCGGCCGACAGCAAATAGTAGAGGACCGCCGACACCGTGTGGATCGACGTGTCATCGATGACGATTCTCCCGTCCAGAAAGTAGTGGAGGACAAAGATGGCCGTCCCGTAGGAATAGGCCACCAGCGCCTGGAGGGTGGCCCTCCGGAGGGACGGCGGGGGCACCCGGATCCCGGCGCGCGAGCGCTTCAGCAAGACGTAGACCTCGTGGGCCACGAAGCAGTTGAGGTAGAGGTTGGCGGTCGAGCAGGCGTAATAGATCGCCCGGTGGAGTGGGATGTTTTGGCGGAATGCGTTTCCAATGGTCACGTGGGTGTGGAAGAAGACGATCTGCCCGGCGTGGCGTTCCGAGTAAAACTGGTTTGCGTAGCCCCCGTAGAGGGAGAGGACAAACGAGTTGAGCAGCGCGTCGGGGATCCAGAGAAGGATGAGGTAGAAGTTGTATCCGTTGTACTCGCTGACATCGTCCCCGTCGTGTTCCATCTTGATTTTTCGGAGGATGGGCAGCGCCAGGCTGGCGATGGAGAGAAGGCTGAGTCCCAGCCCGAGACCGGACACCGCGATTTGCGGCCACACTGTCCAGAGAAAGGAGTCGTCCTTCACAAAGGGCCCGGCCAGGGAGGAATCCTCGGGGGGCTCCCTGCAGCAGTCGAAGACGGACACGCCGTCCATGGAGTTGTAAAAGTTGTTCGACGGGTCCAATTCGTGGACTGCTCCGATGGTAAACACCAGTTTTGGGTGGGAAAAAGCTGCGTACTTGGAAAAGTCTGGGTGCTGGCAGACCATCGGGGTGAGGTATCCGTACGCGTTAAGGATAGCACACTGGTAGACGTCGTGGTCGGTGCACACCGAAACACACGCCGCTCGATCGAGAACTGTTTCCTCGTCGTTGCGGCTGTTGCTGTTGCTGGTGATGGTGTCCTCGTTCCTGATGTTCTTGCTGTCCTCTGGCAACGCCTCGTCGCAGCAAACATAGGATAGCTGCTTTTGATCGGTTTCCATGTCGTGGTACGAATTGAGATAGCGGGGGTATTTCAGCACGGGTTCGACGATTGGGAGATCGCATCGAAGCAGCGATTTGTAGAGTTCTGCCTCTTCGTTTTCCAATGGTTGTATGGCTCGGCCGACGTCGTCTTTTCCGGAGGAGGGTGACAACCCGTACAAGTCAATTCCGTTCAATTCCCAGTTGGTGGTCTGACCGGTGGCATTGACTCGTTGAGAAAGGACGATGGGTTCGGAGCAGTGCCGCTTCGGACGCGTTGGTAACACCAGCATCTCGGTGTTGGTGGTCTCGCCGTCGATGTTGCGGTTGCTCGCTAGCTCTTTCAGCGTTTCGGGGGGACAGCAGGTATAGTGAAAGAGTGGGTTGGGCGACCCGTCCCGAAAGACAGGGTAGGTCTGGAGGTTGCCTACCCCTTCCGTGCGGATCCCCACGAATCCATCGCTACAGCGCATGTTCGCAATCGCAAGGGGTTCGCTGCTCCCAAAGCAGTCGTACCTCCTGCGGGTGTGGTCCTTGGAAATGCACCGGCTCTCGTCGCATGCTCCAAAGAGGGATTTCTCGTAGTCGTCGTTGTTGTAGTTGGCATAGTCGTCGTCGTCGTCGTCGTTGTAGTCGTCGTTGTAGCCGTAGTCCCCGTTATAGTCCCCGTCGTATTCGTCGCCACTGTTGCTGCTGCTGTTGGTGTCACCGCTCCCAAATCGGCTCACCAACACACTCCCGTCGACAGAGGTGGCCAATCCCTCCTGCAAGGGCGGGCGGTCCCGGTGTTCGCCCCGGGGGATCGGACCGAGCCGGGAGTCGCAGCAAACGTACGTGGCCGGATAAAACAGGGTATGGGATCCTTTCACGAGCAACCTCGGGTGGGGCCGGTCCGGAAACGGACAGGGCATTGCCGAGGCAGCGTGCTTGCCGAAACCAGAAGCGTCCGGGGAAGGGTCGCTGGGAACCAGCGTTTGCGTTTGGTTGTCCCCGTTGTCGACGTCGACGTCGATCTTTTCGCCAACGACGGGCCGGACGAACAACGGATCGGTGCAATGGCGTTCCGCGACGAGTGGTTCGTGTTTGGTGCTTTCGTCTTTTGATTSTTCTTTTTCGTTTTCGGCACCGTTTTCGGCACCGATATCGATATCGATATCGATTTCATCGTCGTCGTTGTCSTTGGTGTTGGTGTTGGTTTCGCCTCCCCGAGTTTTTGTTCGACAGCAGGTGTAATAGACCAGGGTTGTGGTGACCTGGTCCCCCAGAGCGTTCTTGACAAGCAAGTCGATCGKGGGCTCGGATGGCACGGGTTGCCCGGTGTAGGAGGGTGCGCAGAGCAGCGGGGTTCCAACGGGAGCGTAGCAACCGAATCGGCTGGTGAGCGTCTGGCTCGTTGCGTTCAACGACGAGTAGGCTTTCGCGACCTGTTGGTGGTGTTCGTCGTCGCTGGGGTACGAGTACGARWACGRGTACGGGTACGAGTACTCGTATTCCCATCCGTTTCCCGTTCCGTTCCCACCGTCTGCGTCTTCCAGGTGAAGGACCATCACGCCCGACGACCGGCACTTGCTCTCGTCGCAGTGCCCGTGCTGTGCCACGTCTCGTGCCCCGTGCTGCTCGTAGCCCAAGCTCGCCACCGGACCCAAGCCACAAAACAGGCACAGCAGCAGGACCACCAATCCCCTCCCCGTCCCACCCGACGAACCACCCAACAAGGAAGACGTTGGGAACCGGAAACTGCGCGGGCCTGCGATTCGTGTTCGCCCCCCGGGGGTAAAAACAGGTCCGGTGGATTCCATGGTAGGACGGGAGAGAGGGAAAGCGAAGGGCGGGAGCGGAGGGTGGTGTCGTTGCAGTACTAGTACCTATCCGTACCAAGAGCCGGTAGTMACCAGTTTGCGTTGGCGAGGAATTCCAGTGGGATGACTAGCGTGGTCTTCTAAGTACAGTACTGTACAGTACGGTATCTATACCTCGGTAGTAAGTAGAAGTAGTGTGTATTATTTCCTCCCTGGGGTTTGATAGCTGGATACGGTTTGAATTGAATTGAATTGAATTGAATTTGCTTTCAGTTTTCGCGGAAAACCTGGTCGGACCGTGAAAATGAACAATATGCTATTAAGAGATAGTGTTAGATAGCAACCGCTTTCAAACAATAACGATATATGCACCAGCCCCTCTTTTGCGTCGTTTTCTTGTTCGTACTAATACCCCACAATGCGCCCGTCGGTTTGCTGCTCACGGATAAAACTGTGTGCAGTATTGTATTATTTACGTAATTAGTGCATGAAAAAATCGAAAAATATGCCGCGTCACACGCCGAGAGAACCCCCGCGTGCCATTSGAACCGATCGGTTTCCTACCCGTTGTGTAGGTACGACGCCACCAAAACCAGGAACGTTCGCGAAAGAGAATTCTGGATCCCGGAAACGTTCCGRGCCAACCAAAACAGGCGAGCCCGCCGGGCCAATACGTGTGCYCGATCAAACGTCTCCACGAACCGATAAATTTATAKCCGGGACGGCACGATTAGGGTTTCGTTGGGTGCGTCTTGKGGTGGAGGGAATGGCCAGGGTGGCCTAAATAGGAATATTCCTGCGAAGGAATTACGAAGTACATACAGTATGGTACGTAGCACATACAGTGCGTTGCTGCTGTTTCCCATTTCCGCGCCAACCCAACAACCCCCCTTTTTCGATTTTAGACTTTTTTCTTTTTTGTCTTCTCCTCGGAATGTCTTTGTCGGAACCGACTCGGAACAATCCTTCACCTAACAATTAGCAGGGGTCATAAATTTAGAGGGGTGTGCAACGCGTCGAAACTCATATTCCACGTGTGGTCCAAATTTCCAAAAAGTCCCCCCAGGATTTTTTTTCATTCTCATTTTTACTGCATAATACTAGTAAAACTATCCAACCTTTAAGCAGTTACAGCTCTATCAAAAATATTACTATTTTAATTTTTGAGTAGCCAGTCTAGTCCAGTTTTTTATGCTGATTCTGAAGGTACCATTTTCTTGGATATTAAATTGATAGTTGTAGTACTATTTTACTGCTGAATAATGAACATAATTTCCATACTACTAGTAGTACTACTAGTAGTACTAGTAGTACTATTAATACTAGTATTAGTACTAGTACTATTAGTACTACTTGATCATAATTTCAATAGTAGTAGCACTACTACTAGTAGTAGAATACTAGTAGTAGTCACTATTAGTAGTGGTAATTGAGTACTGCTACTACTACTAGTACTCCTAGTACTATTACGTCACACAAAGCACTTTCATCCCGGTAATATTTTCTCGCAACACACGAACAAAATTTTCCTCCCTATTTTGTCGCGCGTTTCAGCAAATTT